TATATATATATATATTATGTAAGTATTTTTATGTGTTATAGTTAGTTATTTTAATGATTTAACAACAAATCTGTCCCCGTCAGCAAGCTTGCTCTAAGTACACCTCCGCAATCAAGTTCTTCCGCGTTATTTTTCCGGAAAACATACCATTTCACACTTCCCATAACATATCCTATTTCTGCACACATCATTAGTCCTGTATGTGACTCGTTTGACAAACTACGACATTCTTTAGTTTCATTCTCCCTGGGAGCGTCATTTATCAATGTGAAGGTTTATTCGAAATAAAAACGCCTTTTGGGCTAATTGTTGGCTTCAATTTTTGTCCATCCTTTCATCGAGAAAGATAGTTGCGTCATAACGAATCTTGAAATGAGAATTTTGTAATCCAGAGAATATTAAATACGATTAGATACTTTTAAAACGCTTGCGTGCCGATCACGATATTTAATTTTTAAATCGCGTGATTACGAATCGCGGTGTTTGATTTTTTAAATCGATCACAAATCACGATGTGTGGTTTTAAAATAGCTTAAAACGAATCAACTGTATTTGATTTTTAAAATCGCGTGATTACGAATCGCGATGTTTGATTTTTAAAATTACGCGAATACAAATCATGAAGTGGGAATTTTCAATCACGTGAATACTGATCATGCTGTTCGATTTTAGAAATCGAGCATATTGCTTTATTTATTTACAAATGACGTTATTTTGCCTTTAAACCACGCAATTATGAGTCAAGATGAGTAATTTAAAAATAGCGTGAATGCGTATCAGGAAGTGGGAATTTACAATCACGTAAATACGAATCACAATAAGTTTTTTTTTTTTTAAATCGCGTGAATACAGAGTACAATGTTTGATTTTTATGTCGATCGACGTTTTTATTTATCTACAAATCATGCTGTTTTCATTTTAAATCATGCAAATACGAATCAAGATGAATGATTTTAAAATTTGCGTGAATACAAATCGTGGTGTTTGATTTTTTAAATTGCGTAAATACGAGTCAACGGTGTTTGATTTTAAAATGAGGTGAATAAGAATCACGATGTGAGATTTTTAAAAAGCAGTATGTTTCATTTCTTATGAATCAGTATGCCATATTTTCAAATTGAGTGATTATGAATTTCGATGTGTAATCCTAAAACGCCTGAATACGAATCCTAATGTGCAACTTCCAAATCACGTGAAAACGATAAACGCGTGCCCGTACGAACCGTGGGTAGAGCAGTATCGATATTGCGCAAGCTGATCAAAGTGGTACTCACTGACCGTTGCTATAGATACTTAGCTTCGTGATGTACGAATTTTTTTAAAAAACTCATAATCTTAGTTGATTTAACATAAGTAATTTTGACCATAATGCAATAAAAGTTTCACAAGCAGTAACTGTAGAATTAGAATTATTGTAGAAGGTGTTTAAAAATATAATAATTGACTTTAAATGCGATGCTGATTCTTTTTGCTTAAGAACCCGATATTTCCACGTCTTAATAATTTTGATTTTTAAACATTTTCTAGAAACTAATATAAGAAAGGAACATATATGGTTAGAACGGCGTCATTCAAATATTGGCCATTAGCTTGAAAAAGGATTCTATTTATCCAACATAACCATGATTTTATTTATAAAAAGAATAGTTTTTTTTTCAATAAGTAAATAATAATTTTAATTATTATAGAAAAAATATTAATTATTTTAGCTACAATATTGTTTCTAAGTATTATTAAAACATTTTATTAATTGCTTTGGTTGGTAAATGCAAAAAAAAAAAAAAAAATCTGATTCAAAAAAAAAAAATTTCTACTTTTTTTTTAAGTCATGATTTCTGTCAACCCTGCTTATAAGAAGTCAAAATCTTTGATGGTTTTCGATTGATGGACCAACATAATCTTGATCTTGACGATCAATAATTCCATCGTGAACCATTACATTTTTTGATGGTAACCAACATAAGTAACCATCACTCCAATGTAGGAATTCGGACCGATTTATGATGGTTCAACATAAAAATAGCAACTTTTCCGATGGTTTGTTCATGTTAAACCACTACGAATTTTCATCACAGTTTCTTAGAAATCAAATGTAACTATCATGAACTATCAGCATCCCAATGTAGGAATTAGGACTAATTTATGATGAGCCACCATAATTTTTTTTTTTTTTTGACGGTATATTTCTGCTGAATCAACAATAATTTCCATTAAACCATTATAGAAATGTATGGTTGGGACCATCATGGATTGTTGGCCCATGAGAATCAAACTTCCCTTGATGGTTAACCATCCTAACATTAAAGAAGCATTTTCCATTATGGAAGTTTGTTGTCATATCAAAAACTACGAACGCATAATGGAAAATGATGGATGATGGTGAGCATCAAATGATGTTGGGCTATCAAGAATCACCAAGGTGCGTAGCCAAATCTTTCAACAAAAAATAAGCACCTTTTAAGTATCTACTCTTTAATCACTCAAAAAATATTTTTAAGCACTACATGCGCTAACAAAATGCAAAATAATTTTCAAAGACTTCACATGATCATGATAAAAATAACCAGTTTCTGACAAAGAACTCTTTTCTTGATTATATTAGGCATAAAAAAATCTAGAGGTTTTCTCGGTTGAATATCAGACGGTTGGAAATGAAGCCTAAAATTGAGAATATCTTGCAAAATGCAGCAGAGTTGCACATGAGATTGCAAGAATCTCACCGAATCTTGCTCAGTAGATGCACATGCCGACTCGCAAGCATTTAATCAAACATGTAAAATAATTGGCGCTTTCATAGGCTATGGACCGAATGTAAGCGAAAATAGATTGTGGTTGAATGAATTGTGAAAATGTTGCATAGAACAATGTGAAAAGCACGCTTTCGCATAATACAAATCGACATGGTAAAGAAGAAAAAAATTTCATTTTCGAAAAAGGAAAATGAAGCACTTTTTAAAAACACCCAATGGAAAAAAGCACCTTTAAGGATTTTTAAAAAACGAAAATCAAAAATAAGCATTTTTGAGCACTTTTTAAAAACGCTACACACCTTGGAAAAATGTAGTTTATCTGACTTCTACATTGAAGTGTACTTTTTCCCAAAACTTTTCATTACATTTTACTTTCATTTTAAATTTGTTGTTGTTGAAAATGATGTGAGCATTGCTCACACTCATCCTCTCCTTTGTCATCCAATCCATCTCCTTTGTCCCAATAATTGAAAGATGTTCTATACTTACTTTCGAAGTACTGATTGGCAGTCTTTTCTCTCAATTCAGACACATTGTCCGTGTCAGGATTGGCCCATTCCAGCACCAGGCGACGATTGAATAGATGAGTACTGTGGCACAGAGCATCGAATGCACGCTGCAGAAAAGCAAAAATATATATTAATTTAAATACTCATTCATTTTAAAAGATTATTTCACGTGTTGGAAAAATAAGCAACTAGACAATATTGTATTAAATATGTGGGTACAACTTGAACTGTTATTTTGAAATAGATTCGAATCCCGGTTTAACGAATCCCTATTTACCGAATTTCGCGATTTAACAAATTTTATGAAGTTAATGAAGTACATTTATAGGAAGCTGACACAGAAGTCGATGATAATGAATCTCCAGTGAAAACATACCTTATGCAGCAAAATGTCAATTTCTTCTCTTCATGACGTCGAAAAAGAACTCTTTTAAAAGTAAGAAATCCAAGAAAATAAGCAAACTTCCAAGCTGTAAAATTTCAAATTAATCAGCGCGTAATCATTCGTTGTATTTTAAATTCCTGAATAAAAAGTGTGAGATTTCTATTTATTTTGTGTATTTGCTGATTAGAACTGTTCGAATATTTTATAAGGTTAGTCAATTTTTTTATTTTGCTCCGGATATTACGAATTATCTCCGATTTAGCGAATAATATTTTCGGTCACTATAAATTCGTTAAATCGGGGTCCGACTGAAATAATAATTTCGTTAAAATGCATTTGCAACCTTAGAAACTCTATAATTTGAAAATTACGGTAGTTTATTTAATTCAGGAGATTCCAACCAAGGGAGTGTGATTTCATAGATTTGAAAAGGGTATTGTATCTTCAGAAAATGAATTGAGGGTATACTTCCCTAAATTTAGTTCGAAATTCTACTTGAAAAATTTTTCAGTCTGAAGAACTGCTGGAAGAGAAATCCGTGCAAGATCTTTAACATCTCATTAAAACTATTTCAATTTGTGTGAAGTTATTTATTATATGCAAACACAACTCTGCATATAACCTAGAACAATCACAAGCATTCCATTAAACACTGGTTCTTTTTTCTGGAATATTCTTTTTTCTAATAATTGAAGTATTTATTTATTTGTTTAAAATAAGTACAAAAATAGAAGTTATCAAAGTATGAAATTCAAAATGCGAAAACGGAAACAGTAATTTTGAAAATAGTCAAACCCCGCTTAAAAGAATACCATCGGTTGCAGCCAAATCTATGCAATTAATGCGGGTTATTCGATTAAAAGGGGAGTGCAATATTCAATATTTCATACCCGTTTTATTTGCCAATTTAATAAAATTAGATTTTCCTTTTCAGTGCCTACTAAGACTTTCATTACTAGTGTATTCCTTTCAGAATTTTTATTTTTACTTATTTTTTTCTCTTCATAATCCTCGAAATTTCAAATTAATGCGCTATTTTAGTTTGGGAGTTTTTGAAATGCCTTGTTTACAAGATTCATTCCTTTTTTCCAATTTCAAATTATTTCCTTTTGCGCTCAACTTACAACCAACTCAGAGTTATTCATTGGGTTAAGCAATTATTTTTCTACTTAAGAGAAAGACACATTGTACACTAGTGTGCTATTTTTTAAACTTTTTCTTATCAAAGCTAATAGAGCAGCAGGAGGGGACCACAAGCCTTGACCACAAGACAAATAACTCTACCCCTTTTTTATAGATTCTAAATGATGTGAGAGTGAAGTAAGTCAAAGAGGGGTAAAACCCTCTAAGTAAGTCAAAGAGGCAGCAAGATTTGATTATTTTTTCAACTTTACCCCTAACACTTGTTCAGACCAACTAATGAACAAGAAGTCCCTATTGAAGTGACCAACTATCTTAACTGAAAAAAGGAAATTCCATTCTGGCTTTTGAAACATTTCTCAACAAAAAAAAAATTTTTTTTTCCCTTCCATTTCAGCCCCTGTTCTTTATGCAATTAGGCGGGGACAGAAAACAATAAATATCCATTTAAACAGGAATAGTTTAACATTAGTTTCATAGAAAATGATTTAGTTCCGTTAAATTTTATTCGTATAAGAAGGGTTATTCGATATGCTATTAAGTGGGAACGACTGTAATACTTACCCGAAAAATGGAAATGCGATGTATATATAACGAAAAATAAAAAAAAAGCTTTAACAATTCTCTTCACTTTAAGCGTTCGGTGGCTTCATATAAAAACGTGTTTTTGGGAAGTCAGTTCAAAAAAGAAAATCGTTTTCATCGAACAAATGTAATATCATAAACTAACAGAAAAGTGTTTACTTTAATATTTTCTCAAGAATTTAAAAAAGTCAATTTCGAACATTTATAATTTCTAACAATGGTAATTCACAAATAAAGTGGAAGATATACCATTAGGTAAAATAATTTTTGGAATATCGTTTTCAAAATCTCATATGTAACAGAGAGCGATAGAAAAATGAAAACGATATTTGCAAGCGGGAATCAGCAGACGATGTTACTCGTCTCGTTCAAAAAGATGTAGTTTCGTGATCAGATTACTGATAAATTCAACACAAGACCAGATCATTTTTAAAGAACTAAAGAAGCGATAGTTTGAAAAGGGAAAGGGGAGAGGGGTGTAGACGATCAATTATTCAATTATAATCCCTCTCTTTCGAGGTTCCGAGATTAGAGAAGACTTAAAAAGATACTTTAAAATAATCCTCATAGTCCCGAGAGAGGGAAGACTTTGATGAGGAAAAACGCAGGAAGGGAAAGAGCGCGAAACCGAAATGTCACAGAAAATCAGTATTATTTAGAAAGCTATGAAATTAGGAGGTTTAAGTATCGCAAATTATCTTGAACTTATCTTGTATTTGTAAATAATGAAAGATAAAAAGCAAACATTAATAAAACAAATAAACATATAAATGCAGTTCTATTTTGCGCAACACTATCGATTTAAATGCTTTTTATATTGTATTAAAATCGATTTTTCATATCTTCACTTAAAAAAATAAAATAAAATAAATTATGATGTAGCCACCATAGCTGCCAACACGAACTGGAAAAAATCTAGCAGATTTTGCGAAATAATGTAAATTTCATAATTGTTGCAAAATATACTAAATATTTTACACGTATGGAATTTTAAGGATTTTTATAGTCATTATAATAGAAAAATTGCAATATTTTCCAGCTATGATTTCACATTAAATGACCTTGAAATGTTATGTAGTAAGTTTATTCATAATTTTGAATAGTAATAGACCTCTAATTCATCAAAGAGTAAACTGAATTTCATAAATGAGGCGATTTAGTGACACTTATTTAAATATTCAAGCAAGCAATAATCTGCACAAAAATTCTATTTCAATAGGGATTTTTTTTTTAGAAGACTAACTTCATAACAAATCAATACCTCTGGGGATACTGATCCAGAAGTTTCCTCGTCTTCTGGATTGGTTCAAACTTACAAGGCTACGGAGTTGAACATTAGTAGTCGTAAAACCGAAATTGGGACGGTGTTGTTCAACGACGGTTATAAAAAAAAATAATAATAAATAAAACTGAATTTTAGGGAATTTTCTAAAATGTACAAAAACCAGGGCAATTTTTATTTAACCAGTAAATCAGGAGAAACTAACAAAATCCAGTAGAGTTGGCAGCTATGACCCACTAACATTCAAGGGAGGTTTTCTTTTTTTTCTTTAATAATGAAACAGAACAATAAGAAGAGGTCAAACCAAACTCGAAAATTGGGAACCTCTTAACTGAGCGGTTCCCAATTTTCGACGCAACCCTACTCGATTTTCTTTTAGCGGACCTCCTGATCTTATAAATAAATTATTCCGTAAAGACAATCGTGAACCAATAGACGACTACTTTATTTTAAAAACACTAAATTGAGAAATGGAATTGCAGTGGCTCAAGGGACAGAGCATTCGCCTCCCATTGAGGTGACACAGGTTCAAATCACAGCAAAGGCTGGTAGATAAAAATTATGCTACCGGATCGCACTGAACACAGTGCTGAAGTAAATTATCCTTAGTGGTAGATAGATTACGGGTTAGAATCCCTTGCGCCACCTAGTTAACCTCAGTAGCTCCATCTAACGGAAATACGGGTCAATGCCATCAAAAAGTCTTTAACGAAGGCTAGTTTATCCCAATTATTGATCCAGAAGTTCCCTTGTCTTCTTGGTTGACTTTAAAATGACGAGGTTACAATGTTGAAAATTGATAGTCGGAATTGTGTATGTTGTTCAACGCTGGTTATAAAATAAAATAAAAAAAAGTTTAGCGCAAGTGATAAAATATAAATTATTTTATAAATTTATAAAAAAACAGCAAACGCCATCTAAAAAATTGCTAAATGAGTGGACTATGTTCAATAAATACTGCAACAGCCTTTAACTAATGTTATTTTTGTTTAGTGGAAGAATTTTCTTGAAACAAATCGCTAACTTTCATTTTTTTTCTGAGCTAAGGAAAAAATGTTGAAATCCTTCCTTCTAATTTGTTTCCTCTACTAGTAACCATTCAACCACATTCTCTTCTGTTGAAAATATTATTTTTTGTATGAAGTACAAGATAGATTTCTTTCCAATATTTAGTCTAGACAAGAACAGATTCAGCAATATTTTTTCTCCTTATTTGTTCTATTCCCAGAAATAAATTTTTTCGATGTATTTTATCCTATTTTTTATGTTCTTCACCAAACTTGTTAAAAATAAGACCATGTAAAGGAAACTGGAACAAATATATCTTTTCTCTATCATCAGAGATACCATAGTTGTGCTGCTTTCTGCGAATTAAAAAATTAAACTCGTAAAATAAGGGATATTTTTGNTAGTGCTTTATCGCATTTGAGGAATAGATTGCGGTTAATTTTTGATAACTCCTAAAACGGACTTCCCGATCGGACTTCTATTTAACTAACTTCCATTTTGCGATTTTTTTCGAGGAACTAAGAACATTTTGGAAAACTTCTTCGTAAAATAACTTCCAAATAACGAAGTGAATTTTTTATTTAACGAACTTTTCTTTGAGATCCACTCTCCCTATTTCCCAAAATATTTCAGAACATTTCAAATTTGTTAACGAACTGTATGGGGGAAATAAACTTAAATTGATTTTCGAGGCCACTTAATTTTTA